TTTTTTTTTTGACGGGTCTCGCCTAATAGATTTGATAAGCATTCAAAATAAAGCTTCTATTCTACTTCTAATGTTTGCGCTATACTAGGGATCGTCCTTTTGGTTGCTCGTTTATCAAACTGAGTCGTTTGCAGGCTGGAAGGGCTTAAGGCGATTGGCGTGTACGGTGCGAAGGCGCCTTCCGTCTCGGACGGTCACATTTGGAGCTTCGACATCAACAACATCGAAAGGACCCTCGAATTTAGGTGCGATTTTTGAGCCTACATCTTTTCTTATTAGTACTTTTTGTCCAATTACAAAGGTACTAGGAGACACTCGTTGACGTAGGTCGTAGTGGTGTTTTTGGGTGTGTTGAGCAGCTTTGATGTTTTGATGTACGTCGTTCCATACGTTTTGCAGTGTGGACGTGAGCTGCTCGACATAGTCTTCTTCATTTATGTAGGTTTTGGATGGTAGTTCTAGCGCCAAGCGGAAAGCATTGTTAGGTTCGCGGCCATGTAGGATGAAATATGGGGTGTATTTTGTGGAGGCGTTATCGGCAGCGTTGTACGCGTGAATCATTAGATGAATAACGTCATCCCATTGGTCGTTTTTCTGGGTAATCGCGAGAGTGATCAGCTCTTCGATAGTTTTATTGGCGCGCTCTACCTGTCCGTTGCTTTCGTGGTGGTAAGGGGTGCTAGTCCTGTGAGCGATGCTTAGCGTCTTCAGTACGTTTTTGAAAGTCTCACTCATAAAGTTGGTTCCTTGGTCAGTGACCAAAGTTTCGGGTGGACCGAATCGTGAGACGAATCGATGGATGAAAATGTCAGCTGTTGTGGTCGCTTTCTGGTCGGGCATGGGTTCGGCTACAACGAATTTCGAGAAGGCGTCCACAATCACCAAAACAAACTTGTTGCCTTGTAATGTCAATGGAAGAGGTCCTATGACATCTGAATGGACTCTTTGGAAAGGGCGCTTGGGTGTCTCAAATTGGTGGAGAGGTTCGTTGGTGCGATACATATGGGGATCTTTTCTAAGCTGGCAAATGGAGCATGACTTAACAAAATCGCTAATGTCTTTCGACATTTTGTTCCAAATAGCTAATTTTGCTACGGCGCTTCGGGTTTTCGAAATTCCTAAGTGGGCTGTCCCATATCGGGACTCATGAACTTGTTTCATGAGTGTGCGCTTGATCCTTGAGTCTTCCGGTAGCACAATTTGCGGGTCTTGGTAGATGCGCTCTGGTAGTCGGTAGAGTATACCATTCAGTAGTATGTATTCATTCAAGTCTGGAGCACTTTCACCTGCCTCTAAAGCTTGTTTGTATGACGCAATCCACGGACAATCATTTTGTTCTTTATTAACAAGATCAATACGTAGTGCGGAGACAGGATTCGAGTCGTTCTCTGTAGCAGGAGTAGTTGTAGCATTGATGCATGGTGGATGGCGAGAAAGGGTGTCGCAGACGATATTAGATTTGCCGGGGCGGTATTGGATGGTGATGTCGAATTCCTGTAAGATGATTTGGTATTTGGCCAGTCTTCCAGTTAAATCTTTACGGTGCAAAAGTGCTTTTAATGGTGCATGGTCTGTTATCACGGTGCATTGGGCTCCATCGATGTAAGGTCGAAATTTTTGGACCGCAAAGACAACGCCTAAGGCTTCTAGTTCTATCGCCGGATACCGCGATTCGTGGACGGTGAGGGTTCGGCTGGCGTAAGCTATTACCTTAAGAGTGTCATTTTGGAGCTGTTTGAGTACTCCAGCAACAGCTTTTCCTGAACTATCAGTTTCGATGACGAAAGGTTCTCCGAGCCTTGGCGCCACTAGTATAGGTGCAGAGGTTAGGGCTCTTTTAAGTGCTATAGTGGCGGCTTCGCATTGTGGAGTCCAGATAAATGGAGCATCTTTCTTTGTTAGTGCTGTTAATGGTGAAGCAATGAGCGCAAAATTATGGATGAATCTTCGGAAAAAGGAACACATGCCGAGAAATGCTTTTACGTCGGTAGGCGTTTGAGGAGTTGGAAATTGATCGATGGCTTGAGTTTTCTCAGGGTTAGGTCTTATCCCTTCGCTGCTTAGCACAAATCCCAAAAACTTAATTTCTTCGCGGCCAAATTCGCATTTCTTCGCTTTGAGTTTCATTCCTATTTGCTCGATTTTGCTCAATACTTCGTCGATATCCGCGAGATGTTCGGGGGCGGTTTCGGAGGTAATGATTAGGTCGTCAATATATATGAAAACGCGTGCTCTGAGGTGTTTTCTGAAGTCGTCCATGATTCTCTGGAACGTAGCGGGGGCGCCTTTCAATCCCATAGGCATGCGAATGTATTCGAACGCGCCTAGGAAACAGGCGAAAGCCGTTCTTTCGCAGTGGCTTTCTTCCAATGGTATTTGGTGGAACCCTTGCTCAAAATCAAGGGACGAATATAGACATTTGTTGGCGCATAGATCGATGATGTCTTGGATATTAGGCAAGATAGATTGTTGTGGTTTCGTGATGGCATTAAGTCCTCGGAAATCGATAGTAAATCTCCATGAGTTTAAGTCGCGCTTTCGTACTAGGACTATTGGTGCGCAAAACGGAGAGCAGGATTCGCGTATTATTCCGTCCCTGATCATTTGTGTTATTTGACGTTCGATTTCGGTCCTTTTTTCGAGGGGGACTCGATAGATTTTGCGAGTTGGTATTGTGGCGTTTTCTATCAGATCGATGCGGTGTCGGATGGGTCCGTTGTAATGTCCGAGATGTCCGTCGGGTCCGACAAACGCCGCCGTGTGCTTTCGGCAAATGTCTCGAAGTTGCTCTTTTTCGCTTTCGCTCAGTACTGACGCCGTTAAATCTATTTCTTTGCATATATCGTAGGAATGGGTGTTAGTGGGGAATTGCGGTATCCTGGATTCCCAATCGGCTTCTGGTGGAATATAGGGTTCGGTGGCAACTGCAAAAATCTGTTGTTCGGGAAAGTAGATTGGCGAGGCGCGAGCGATTCTCATGTTCTTGTACAAACGGATAGCGCTGTTTGATGGATTGAGGATGCAGATGACGCATTTTCCCTGATTATCCGGTGTAGCTAAGGATCTGCCCACAAGAAAGAGTGAATCTGAGTCTCTTTGATTATCCTCGATAATGAATTCGATTGGGTCAGGGAAGGAGTAATCATCTATTCGAGCTGGTAGTAGGTTGTTGGTTCTTTTTGCCAAGGTGGTGTTTTCTACTAGGCGTACATCGAAGGATTGTGGAGTTGCGGGGAAAATGGCGTTAATTTGCACCATGTTTCGTTGCTCATCGCCAATTGTCAGTATGTTGTTATGGAAATCAATAGTTACTTTTAGGCCGAGTTCGTTCAATCGCCGAATGAAGTCGGATCCGAGCAGAACGGGCGCCGGACACTGCTGATCATGGGACACGAGGAAGCGATGAAATAAGATGTGAGTTCCCAATTTTACTGAAGAATTGATTGATGCTACAAGTTCTACTGTTGTTCCGTTTGCCGCTTGGGCATTTGTTACGTTTTCTTCTATTTGTGTTTGTGGTCCTAGCGATCTGAGCGTGGATAGTCGCATGTACGATATTGAAGCGCCGGTATCCACGAGGGCAGTAATGGGTACATTATTTAATGTTATTTTCACGTACGGTAGGGGGTTAGTCTTGATACTGTTGACCGCAGAAATAATGGAGTAGATTCGTGGGATGAAAAGGGATTCCTCTGACGTGCTTCTTTCCGTTGTTATTGCGTTAATTCTCCGCTGGTTTCGTTCTTTTCTGGTGAAAGCGCCCGCTAGATCAAAAAGTGCGGATGCGGCTGTGCCAGACGTTTTTCTTATGAGATAAACTTTGATGTAGCATACGCAAAACGCAATCAGCAAAAAGACTGTGAGCACGGGTATCGTGGTCCATAGCAGGAAATTTATAATTGACCAACGAATACTTTCTACGCCTGTAGTTAGCTTTTCCGTGGTTTTGTCATAAATGCTGCTTAGCGATTCTCCTACGGAATTCCCGGCGCGTTTGATATGGAATATTGTGTCTTCGAGGATTCCTCTCTTGTGCAGCTTATTTTGTAGTGCAGCGTATTGTTGTTGAAGATGTTGGATTTGAAATCGCGTTGTTGGTGCCATTACTTCGGATAGCTTTTGAAATATTGGTGGCGCGTTAAAGATAAAAGGCTGAGCGTATTCGCTGTTAAGAAGGTTGGCCGGTAGCAACGTTTGTATCTGTTCGGTGGAGCTAGGCATGTATGGGCACGGAACTTCCATGGCGTTTTCTAGCAAATCGTTTGAGCCTGGGGTTGCGAACCACAGTTGGTCTTGGACTATGAGAGGAAGCAGATCATAGCAGGTGCTGTTTACCATATGATTCTCGTAAATATGCGATGGTTCTATTTTCCTACACCTGGTTACTAGAAGACTATCGCCTGTTAGAATTGCGGACACGTCGTTAGTTTGTAAAAGTATCCTAGCTGCCCAGGTGGGATCCGCTCGGCTAAGTTCGCGTATCTCATGATTGCTGAGGAATTGTCGGACGCAGGCGCTATTAAAAACTCGTCTAACATCGTAATGTTTTTCTTGTAGCTCATGGGTCACTAGAGGGATTAGAGAAGTGGCGTCAGCTTTGTTTTCCACTGGAATCGCTCGTCCGACCTTGTTGTAATGATCGACGCGATCAGCTGGAATTTGATGGCTTTGCATTGGAGGTTCAGCTTTTTCCCCGAAAATCGCTGCTGTTGTTTCTGCCATTTCCTTTACAGGTTTTGTTGTTGTTGGAGTAGTTGAAGGTACTTGAGTCGCCGGCGCTTGTGACGAGAGAAGATGAGTCGTAGCGTGTTGTAAATCATGAAACCGTTTTGGCAGTTGAATGGAAGAATAAGGTGGTAATTCTTTCGTTGGATTAGTAACGACAGCGAAAACAGTTGGCACTGGCGCCTTGGTTGTTGTAACCGGTTGGATAGGAGTTTTGACGGTTACCGCGATTTTTGCTTGCGATGTGGGTTTCGACATTGGTCTCTGTGTGACAGATGGTCTGTTTTCAATGCGCGCCGTAGGGATTGATGCACTTGTTGTGCTAGGCGAG